TATTTCTTTTGAAGAGCTACACAACGGGGGGTAGCCCATCCCCCAACCCAGGTACAGGCAGGATTCGATCCCAAGTCTCCTTGGATGTGGTCTTGCTGCTTAAAATTAATTTTCTTTTCCACCATGCCCAAACCCTAACTTTGTTATTTTTTATTAGTAACCAGATCCAAGAATTTATTAATGTTTGATACTTTTTATTAGTAAAAAGACGAAAGAATTTCCTAATGATTAATGTGCAAGATAACATGCTCAAACCCCAAATTAGGGATGTAAAAAATTTGAAACTAGTCTTGTTGTTTTGATGGTTTATATTTTGATACTGATTATGTAGATGGAAATCCGAGCTGATCTAATGGATGCACATTTATATGCATTTAAGAGGTTTGAGGTTTCTCTCTTATTTTCTGATGATCTTCCTCTGCCTTAGTCTCTCCATTCTGACATTTTTTTCTCTAACTATATCAGATCTGTTTTGCAAGAGGTTTTGGATCAGAAGGATACGTTTAACAGCATCAAGCAGGATGTGTTGCCATATCTTGTTCGAACTCAGTTGGTTAGTCGTATGAAATATATCCATGTGTTATTATTTGGCTCTTGTTCCATTTCTTAGCTTATTTAATTTTGTTACTCTTCTTAAACTATAGAGGTCAGAACTGTCATCCAATGGTATGTCACAAGCAGAAGAAAATTGGAATGGGAAGGTAGCTTCCCAGGATAACCAGGCATTATCCTCTCAGCAACTGCCTCCTGGCATGATCCCTACAGTCCCTAGCTTTCATGAGCTCTATGCTTTTTGTCCTAATGGTTCTTCTCCTCCAAAAAGGACACATAAATGCTGTGTTTATATTGCCAGCAAGGGCAAATATTGTGCACGTTTGAACTCTATCCAAGCCTTCAGTGACATAAATCGAGATGTAAGAGCCTTTATATACTGTAAGCCTGTAACTTTTTGTCATTTGTTCTTGTTTTATTTTTGGGTTGTTAAAACTGATTGTCTCATTTATAACATGTGTCAGGTCATTGGAGAGGCAAGTCACCTCTCAGGCTACTCCTTCTCTGCCCATAACAACATCATCCACCCATCTGCAGAGCTTGGATCAAAAACTACTGTGAGTTGGATTCTTTTCTCAGTCACGCTTACTTTTTTGCGCTGCTGATAGCTGCTAATGCAGCTATAGTTGTTGCTGGCCGGCCAATATAGTTTCAATAAATTATTATTTTCATTAGGATTTCTTTCAAGAACTTTGGAATTTTAGAACCATGTCAAATTATGGGAACCACAACATGAATGTTACTACTACTAGATTTCCTTTGACGTTCTGTTGTGGAAATATGCCTTTTGGAGTCAGATATCTTGTTTCCTCACCCAAGTGTTCTGTTTGATGTTTGTTCACCCAAAATACCAAGAATTTTGATTTTTCCAGGATATGAGATTACACCCTTATACACTTACCAGGTAGTTTTGATTGTTCTAGGTGGGACCACAATGTATGCTTGGAGAAGGTTCACAACTTGGTGACAAGTGTAGTGTCAAGCGATCTGTCATTGGTCGTCACTGCAGGATTGGTTCCAATGTAAAGGTAAGCTGAAGTCACTGAGAATGAAAGGTAGATAGTCTGATGTCCTGAAGATTTTTAATGTTTTATTTAAATTTGGTTATAGCTAGCTACAACTCTTGGGCTTCATCTTATCTTACAAGAAATCTTAGAAACTGATATTTGTATTTTGTAAACCTATTCCAATCTGACATGGTGAAATTAATCTTTTTCCTTTGTTATATCTACAGGTTGTGAATTCGGTTATTATGAATCATGTTGCAATTGCAGATGGGTGTTCAATCCAAGGTTCTGTTGTTTGTAGTAATGTGCAGCTCCAAGAGCGTGTGGTCTTAAAGGATTGCCAGGTTCTCTCTCTCTCTCTCTCTCTCTCTGTAAACAAACCAAAAAACTAACACATGTTCCTTCTGAAGTTCTTTTTCAGTATTTCATTTCTTGCCGTGTTTTGACTCAGGTGGGAGCCGGTTATGTTGTTACTGCCGGCAGTGAATATAAAGGGGAGTCCTTAGCAAGAAAAGAGAAAAGTCAATCTTAACGAAAACTTTAAGTTGCATCACTTGCATTTGTTTTCTATTTTCTGTTTTCTTTATTTGAGTAATGCAGGCTCATGTAATCTTTTTGGTGCTTGAGGGGGATTTCTATCAAATCTAACCCTCCAATATACAAAATTGCTAAGCTTGTGTAATCAACTTGTTTTCTTATTCTTTTTTTTTTCTTAACAGTTTGAATACAAGTCACCTTTTGTAAAAGTCATAGTCTTATTCTCTTCTTGTGGCTGCTTATATAGTTATAGCTGGTAATGATCATAAAAAAGACTTGTATTGAAGGTGAAGATGAAGTGCAAAGAGCAACAGAAATTCTCTCAGATAGCCTTGATGTTTTCAAAGAGGACTTAGACTAAGGCTGTGTTTGGTTTCTTGGTGTTGTATAGATGTGTTTGTACCAATGTTTTAAAAACCAACCCGGAAATGAAGCTGTTTTTTGTTTTGGGTTCCGGGTCAGCAGATCAACTGTCCAGGTTGAACGGGTTCATAAATACAGCAAATACGAAAATTCAGAAAAAATAATTGCAAAGAAACTGAAAATTAGAAATCGTGAAAGAATAAGGTAAACCGATAGATAGAATGCATGAAAGACAAAGAGTATTGAAATGCAGGGTATAGAGAAGTGTTCTTCAAACAGGTAAAGGGAATGTAGGACGGTAGGGCATGCAAAAAATCAGCTATTCTGAGCTTCATTCGATTAATGATTTCATTCTATAGGGCTTGGAATGAAGTCTGAGAAGAATTATGTAAAAAAAAAAATCCATCAGAATTAGAACTACAAAGTCCGACAAAAGAACAAAAAAACCCTTGGATTTATTCTCTTAAATCAAGAAATCTCATAAGATGAACAACCTACAAATTAATCAAAGTGAAATCCCTTTGTCGTTCTGATGGATTTTGTGAAAGATAAAATCCCTTTGTCTTCAGGTAATTGGAAGTTTGGAACCCCTTTGTGGAGACAAAAAATCCTTTCATCATTAACCTGCAAATTAATCTGTAAATCCTTTTTTTTTTTTCATATGTTAAATTTTGACTAGAGGTAAAGTGAAACCCCTTTGTAGTTTACCCCCTCTATCTCTGTGTTCTTCATATAACAAAAAAAGAAAAACATGTAATAGGGGAGGAGAATAAGATCGAAATCCTCACCGCCTTTCCCATCTTACTCTAGGTAAAACCTTGAATGCTTAGAAACCCACACCCCTTTCTTTTTCACTCACCTGAGTTTTTTTAGTTCTTGTTAAGAGAAAAAGTCATAGAAGTGGAGAGAAATTAGGGAGCTCAGCGGTTGTACAAACTAGAAAAGAAATGAACGAGGTTGTTACGATTTCTTGACATCAACACCCAAATCGCTACCTGGGTTGAATAGTTCGACGATTCAATCGCCTGGGTCAGTGGTTTTATGATTAAGGGGGTGTTTTGTAGTGGATGAGAACTTTGTGGGTGTGGACTGGTCCACACTACACCCTGTGGTAGGGACCAATCCACACCACACTATAGTCCACAGTTGTTCTGAACTGTGGACAAACTGTGTGGACTGGACCAGTCCACACCCACAATAGCATTCTGTAGTGTAGTGTGGACTAGTCCATACCATACTTTTTTTTTTATTCCATGTATCTCATGTACATTTTATGAATGATCTACACCAACATTTTAAAAAAACGGAACTGTTTTGGCCACCGTTTTCCAGGTCGATGGTCCAATCGTTCGATTCGAATGGATGGCCCATTCTGACAAACAAATTAAAAAATAAATAAATAAAATAATTAAAAATAAAAAACGGTAAAAAACCATTGAACAGGTTGATGGTTTGACCGCTCAAGTCAACGACTTGTTGACTTTTTCAACGGTTCTTAGCCAAAAACCGGGTTTGGGGTAAAATGGAACCGCTTGCCTGGACGGTTCCCGGGCTAAACGGTACGACCGTCCGGGTCAATGGTGGTTCGAAAACCTTGATCTACATAGTTAATCATAAATATCTAATTTTTGGATTTTATATGATAAATATATTGAAAAATGCATCAATGAATTAATATTAACCAATAAATATTATTTTTTATAAAAACAATAGTAAAATAATTAAAATTTTAAAAATATATTTTTAATATCTAAAATATAATTTTATTGATAAAACATTAAAATTTAAAAAAATAAAAAATTAAGTAAAATAGTTAATATTTTATTGACAAAAATATTAAAATGTGAAACAGACAATAGGGTAGCCTGTCAGGGAAAGTGAAGTAGGGGATCAAAAATCAAGTGTGGACGGTCCCCAACCACGAGATTTTACCGTGGATGAGAAATTGGGGTGTGGACAGGATCGGTCTCGTCCACACCTAGCCGAACGTGACCAAATCCCATGGACGGGACCGTCCACGATATTTAAGCGGTTCCGAACACTGCCTAAATCAACATTTTTTTTTATAAAACAACAGTCTCGGCTTTAAATGGAACAGGAAACATAACCAGTTTCTGAATTGAACAGTTCGACTGCCTGGATCAACGTTATATTTTGTAGCAAACACTAATGTGGACCCCACTAAGGTGGTCCCCACTATTCGTATGTTAGCAATAAGTTATGATTAGGATTAGTCTTTTATGATAAGATTAGGATTAGTCTTTTATGATTTCAGCTTTATCTTATCTTGCCATGTAAGCAATTCAGTCCTTTTATAAGTGTGATACTATGTATATAAATTTAAGAGTGGGGCAGCTGTTTCAAAACAACCCAACTCTCTCTTTCTCAAAATCTCTCTCTCTCTTCTCCCACTTCTTTTCTTATTCTTTTTCTTCTTCTCTTTTAAGTGTCTATTCAATCTTGAACGACTACTTGGTATCAGAGCATTTGATCTAGTTTCTCATGTGGAATTAATTCAGCCGACCACATGAGAATTATTTAGGGCTGAAAGATTTTTTTTTTTATTTGACTGATTCTTGGAGATTACGATAAGTCTTCAGCAACATGTTCCTTGTAATCAGGAAGAGTCAAAGAAGAATTAAGTGATCAAGGTTAGGTCTTTGATCAAGATTGGAGGTGTCGATCAGATTTTTTGGTTCTCTCATCAAGATTGAAGTTTTCGAAGAAGATTTTCTCAAAGATCAGTTATGTTTTCAGAAGTTTCTAGGGTTGATCAGAATCAAGACCAGCTTTGAGCAAAACTGAAGTTGGCGATCAGAATTTTAGGAAGATTTTTTAATCAAGATCAGTTTTTTAAGAAATTTCCGGGTAAGGTCTTATTCCTTCTTGAGGTCAGCAGCAAAGATAGCTTAATTTGTGAGGTACGACTATATAGAATTTTTCTCTTCTAAAAAATCAAAATTGTTTAGTAACTTTTTTCCCGGATCGATGTGTTTTTCAGGATCTAGAGACAAGGAAGGTGATTGTGACTGGCCGTGAGGCAAATGGAGTCTATCTGCTTGGAGGGAGTTCTCATTGGGAAGACAATGAGACTAAGAGGTCTTGTGTTTCTTAGTCTGTTGATCAGGCTATGCTTTGGCATAATAGGATGGGTCATTTGTCTTTTCAGGCTTTGAAGAGTTTGTTTACCAATTTATTTGAATCTATCTAAATGTCTATTTTGAAATGTGAGAGTTGTGAACTTACAAAATACTGCAGGACAACCTATTCATTAAGTAATAATAGAAGTAATATTCCCTTTGAAATTGTGCATACTAATGTTTGGGGACCTTACGATACCACTGCCATGGGGGGGGGGGTACAGATATTTCCTACTGTTTGTTGATGATTATACTCGTTTTTCATGGGTTTATTTCATGCATTCTCGAGATGGGGTTCCAACATTGACCTGGATCTTTCATCAAATGATTTTAACCCAATTTGGGGTCAAAATCAAAATTTTTAGATCTGATAATGCGAAAGAATATTTTGCAAACCGATTAGCCTCCTATTTGCTTGAACATCGGATTATCCATTAGAGTACCTGTCCTCATACACCACAGTAGAATGAGGTTGCTAAAAGAAAGAATGTACACATATTGGAGGTGGTCAGAAGCATTATGTTTACCTCCAATGTGCCTATACGTTTTTTGGGGGATGTTATTCTTACAGCAGTATATCTCATCAATAGGATTCATTCACGGGTTCTTGACATGAAACCTCCATTTACCCTCTTATATCCAGATACAGAGTTATTTACCGTTCCTCTTAAAACCTTTGGTTGTACATGCTTTGTTCAGATTCTTGGCCCTCATCGTTCCAAGTTTGATTCTAAGGCCTCAAAATGTATTTTCCCTGGTTATGCACAAACTCAAAAGGGATATTGTTGCTATGAACCTATTTCTGAGAAAAGATTTGTCTCAATGGATGTCACTTTTCTTTGAATATATACCCTATTATCTAAGGGTTTCTCCTCAGGGGGAGAGTAGTGAGGTTGGGATTAACTCGTTAGAAGTTCCTTTACCTGTCCCATTAAGTGAAGAAGGGTGTAATGGGGAGGGTTGTCAGAGGTGCAGGGATGTGAGAGTCTATCATAAACGATGGAGGCAGGATGATTTTGGTCATCAGCAATCTAGACCAGCCCTAGTTCCTTCTACATATCCAAATCTAGGTACCACAATCTCTTCACTAGATATTACAGATGAGAGATCTTCCACCATGGAGCCTTCACTTTCATTGAATGACCTTGACCTTCCCATAGCAGTCTGTAAAGGCAAATGGCGTTGCACCACATCCACAACTCATTGCATTTCCTAGTTCTTGTCCTATGAACATTTGTCTCCCTTCTACAAGTCTTTTCTTGCATCCATTGCTGAAATTCCCATTCCCAGAACAGTACAAGAAGCCTTGTCAGTTCCTGAGTGGAAAGATGCAATAAAAGTAGAAATGGATGCCCTCATCAGAAACAATACCTGGGAGATAGTTGATTAGCCTAAAGGGAAGAAACCAGTTGGATGTAGATGGGTGTTCACTGTGAAACATAATGTCGATGGTTCCGTTGAAAGGTATAAGGCCCGGTTAGTTGCAAAGGGATTTAATCAGACATATGGTATTGATGAAAGAATGGTAGGATCCATCCAATGGACGCCATAAAGGTTGCGGAATGGGTGGGCGAATTT